CCACCACAATGAAAATGCGATAATAATTCATTTGGCATTGGCACAATATATATTGCATGTAGAAATATGTTGTTGCCAAAAGACAATTCTCCATATATATTATATGCTGAATTGGCATTGCACCTTGCATAGAAGGTACTCTCGTGCCTGCAAGCGTGTTCCACTAAGGTGACTATAATTTTGGCCATAAACATGTGGTAGTAAAGAATTTATAGAGAATCTATTTTTGAGAGAGTCTTCTTAATGTTTCTATTAAATTAAGTGTAAAACCCCTGGTAGCTAGGCCCACTTTAGGTCAATAGGTACCATATATGTTCCCACTTTGGCTACTTTTCATGGGAAAGCCGTGTATATATAAACACGATATCTCCCTTCCAAGTTTCACAACTACAAAGTGAGTGATTTGTATTAATTAGTCTAGCTAAAACAAGAAAAAATAAACTAAGAGAATATTTCTATTAATATTTCTTATTAGTGATTATGGGTTCGACCGTGATAACTATTCCGGCAGATGTGGAGCTTGATCTTCCCAAAAATATTCAAGACAAAGATGAGAGGCAGAAGTTTTCTATTTTTGGAATTATTTCCAATCTTACACTTAGAGTAATTGATCAGAAAAGCAAGCAAGATATGAGAAAGCTGCTTCACTGCATCAAGGTTGGAGTTGCCCTAGTTTTGGTTTCACTTCTCTATCTTCTCGACCCTCTCTATGAACAAGTTGGAGAGAATGCCATGTGGGCTATCATGACCGTCGTCGTCATTTTTGAGTTTTATGCAGGTTTGCTCTACTTTTCTGGGTTACATTGGAGAGTTTCACTCTTTTTTATCCAACGAAAAAAAATTCATTAAGTTACTAATACATGTTTTAACTTTGTGTATGGTAACATTTTTTTGTTTTCAGGTGCTACACTTAGTAAGGGCTTAAACCGTGGAATGGGTACAATTTTAGGAGGTGTATTGGGGTGTTCAGCTGCAACTTTTGCTCAAGAAGTTGGTGGAATGGGCAAGGGCAACGCCGTAATGATCGGTTGTTGGGTGTTTGTCATGGGTAAGATATATAATGTTAGGCCATCCATTAATTTTGATATTTCAAGAGTAATGCTCATATATAATTTCGTAAAGGAACTTTTATAATGCATATATAGTCTAATATTGTACAAAGTTGGTCCCAGAGAATTTGGAACTTCCATCCCTATAAGTCTAGAAGATTATGGCGCATTATCAACGTGCCGTGCATTATGCAGATTTGAATGGTTGATGATGAATTGTGATCAAATACTACATACACATACATACATATATATTAGAAATTTTGGACAAAATGAACAAAAATTTTATTGAATAAGAAAAATGAAAGAATGAGAGCAAAAAAAGATAAACTGTTTACTAAGTAAATCTTACATTTTATTATATTTCAGGTGCAATTGCGACATATTTTAGATTAGTGCCTAGCATCAAGAAAAGATACGACTATGGAGTCCTGATCTTCATCTTAACCTTCAACTTAGTAATTGTATCGGGTTTACGTGCCGGTAAAGTGTTGGAAATAGCTCGTGATCGTCTTTCAACAATCGCAATGGGATTTGCAGTATGCATATTCGTAAGCTTGCTAGTCTTCCCAACATGGACTAGTGATGAACTTCATGACTCTACAGCTCATAAATTTCAACTCCTTGCTGACTCAATTGAAGGTAATAATTAAAGCATGCACTAAGTTGTGTTAGTGATTAAAGTAAACGCATGACCCATCTAATTAAGTGAATAGTTAACCATCTTAATTTGTTGAATGATTGATTTGCAGGATGCTTAGAGAATTACTTCAGATTGGACAAGGAAAATATGAAGGATGATTCCATTTCTAGTAGTTGCAAGTCGGTATTGAACTCCAAGTCAAAGGATGAGACACTGGTATATATAATACTTCCATACACATTTTAGCGAGAACATTGTTATTTGTACAGCATATAGTTATTGACGGCCTCTCTACTAATGGAATAATATAACTCACATGTATGTAATTCACTTCTTATTAAAAAAAAAAAATGTAGTTCATCAAATATGATACGAATAACACTATCCTTGTTAAATTTATAAACAAAAACATGAGATCACGGTGTTCTATAATTAATTATGTATGACAGGCAAATTTTGCGAAATGGGAACCATGGCATGGAAAGTTTGGTCTCAAGTACCCATGGACAAAATACCTACAAGTTGGAGAGCTTCTTCGAGAGTTAGCTACCATTGTCATTTCCCTCAAAGGTTGTCTTCAATCTCCTAGACAGGTACACATGTACATATGTACATATATAACATGCACACTTGGCCTTTGTTTGAATTAATTTTGGTTCATCTTCTTTCCAAGAAAAATTCTTAAGCTGGTTCAAATTATGTGTGATTTTAGCCGTCGTGGAGTCTGAGGCAGTCTATCGAAGAGCCTAGTGAAGCTGTAGGACTGACACTTGCTTGGAGCCTAAGAGAGCTTGGAGAGAGCCTTGTGAAGATGAGAAGATGCAACCGGGAGGCTGTGATAATTCCCAAATTGAAGTCAATGAGACTAGAACTGAGCTCGATTGTTTCTCCTTCAAAGTTTGGACCAATAGAGAATGTTGATGGACTTGCAATTGCAAGCTTTGTCTTCTTGTTGACAGAGATGATTGAAAAGTTGGAAGAATTGGCGAAGGAGATTGAAGAACTTGGAGAGCTTGCTGGTTTTCATGCTAAATAGCTATAGCTATGCCTATATATAGACTTTAATATTCTTAACTATGGTGCATAAACATTTTCCCATTTTTGGCCTACAAAACTCCACGTATGTTCCGAAATTATGCGAGTTTGGAGAGGATGCGTAGCTAGCTAGATGTATAGTATATATTAATTAACCGAGTAACTGAAACTATGATTACTTTATCATATGATGTGATCTTATGCATGCGTATTGTTAGGACCGGCCTTGAGAATTTAGGAGCTCTATGTGAGCCTTCGAAGTAGGGCTCTAAAGTTTGTTGATCTCCGATTCTTTGTACATTGATATGTATAAAAAAGAATTTGCTAAATACATAAAAAATTCTATTTCCACATTAAATATCATTAAAAATTAATATCAAAAGAAGATAAATATAAAAACATTACTTAAACATTACACTCTCAAATTTTTAGACACAAATGTATTAAATGTTTGCAGTCAATAGTCTAAGATTGAGAGTGAAGAACAATAAAACTTGATGAACAAGAGAATAAAGAACAATAAAACTTGATCGACGAGTATAATAAATTCAACAATGCCAATTGTTTCTCTTGTGTGTGTGTGTGTGTGTGTGTGTGTGTGTTTTTTTTTTTCCTTCTAAAATCAACATCACACTAACGAATTGAATATTAAAATAATCCATTAAATAAAAAATTATTGAAAAGAAAAATATAAATTTAAAGTTTTGATTACCTTAAAGTACAATCTTCAAAATCATGTGATAGTTGGTTTAAACATTCAATAGAAATAGAGAGATTGGGAAGTTGAAAGAAAAAAAGATTGCAAAAGGACTTGAGTTTTATAACTTTATATGCATTTAAACAGATGGGATTAGGAGTAAATTTGAAAAACAAGAAAAAACTAGTGACTAAAAAGGCAGCTATGTTTTTCGAACTCAACACCCCAAAGAAAAAGAAAGCCAAACATTTCCACTACACCAACAAATGAATTATGATATTTTTTTTTCTTCTGTATTTATATGTTAATTATAGGATATAAAAAAAATTAAGGACCCCTCCAAAGTGGGGGCCCTAGGCAGGCATCTACTTGGGCTACACTTAGGGCCAGCCCTACATGTTGTGTGGGAAAGACAATGAATTTAAATTCGGACATTTGTGCCTAACTTAGGACTTGACAAATTTTTATACGGCAACACACTTATAAGGGGTGAAATTGTTGGAACCCATATATTATCAGGTTATATCGAGTGTAGTGAAGTAAAGGTGCTTATTTGTCAACTTTTTCTGTTATCATCCTAAAAATACAAATTTGCCTTGCCTAAAGTTGTTAAAGCTAGTATGCTTAAGCCCTGGATTTATCCAGTGTAAAATTTCACACCTTATGAATGTGTTCCCGTGTAAACAGCTGCTCCCATATAAAATTTTCTCCTAACTTAGATTTGATCATCACACCATAGCAAAATATATACAAAATAGATCAATAGGTTTGGCCTTAATCTCTACCAAGGTCCCTTCACAAAGCTGCAGGCCAAATAAGATAAGGGACCTTTGTCAGAAGTCATTTGACATAGTTGTCAGATCTGCCAAAACTTTGTCAGATAGATCAATAGGTTTGGCCTTAATCTCTACCAAGGTCCCTTCACAAAGCTGCAGGCCAAATAAGATAAAGGACCTTTGTCAGAAGTCATTTGACATAGTTGTCAGAGGCACAAAAGGATCTTTATTTGTGCTTATCTTTTTGAGCACCACATATTTTATTGTGCTCCTTGATCAAAGGGCACATCCATAGAGGGTGTAAATACCATTTTAGTCACTGCATTGTTACTATTGGTCTATGAGCACATTATATGTTGGTGCTCTTTGGCCTCAAAGGGCATAAATAATTTATTGCGCACATTGTCCATATTTTTTTGTAGTGATAGGATGGAGTGGTCATCATCCTATATAGGTATCTTATCTGGCCTGCAGCTTTGTGAAGGGACCTTGGCAGAGATTAAGGACAAACCCATTGATCTATTTTGTATATATTTTGGATCACCAGCTCAGGTCTTAAATAATATCATGATAATTTCTGTTAAAAGAAGACAAATGTATAAGCCATTGGAATAGGATAATCAACATAAGACCATTCAAGTAAGACAAATAAAAGTATAAAATTAAGGATGCCGACGGAGAAACATACATAATTATAGTGATCATGATTAAGATAAACCATAAAAAAGAGAATCCAAAGTTAAAAAGCTTCAACTCTGATAAGATCAGGAGACATCACAACAACAAGAAACAGAGAAAAAATGGGCATTCATCTCATGAAAATTGCAGTAACCCTAACCCTAATCGGATTCGCAGGGTTTTTCTTCTGCAGTGTGGTAAGATGCACTCCAGACACAAACGTGACAAACGTTCTATGCAACGGAGGGTTGTACACAGCTGGTGATCCTTTTGCTGTAAGCCTAGCCTATGTTCTTCAAGAATTGGAAACTGCCGCACCAGCTCACAAGAACTATGATTCCTACAACATATCTCCTTACCCTAATGCGTTTGCGTACGGCCATGCTTCTTGTAACAAAAACATCACAGCCCCAGATTGCACTACTTGTCTTGGTGCTGCAAAAACAGACATGTCAGTGACGTGTCAAAATGCGATAGGCGGTCGTGCAGTTCTGGTTGATTGTGCAGTAAGGTATGAGCAATACCCATTTACTGACTGATCAGCCTCCACCCATTAGCTATAGTTTGATTTCCACTAGTTACTAAATGTTGCTGCTGCAATAACATTATATAATTTCAGTGTACTAAAAATCTTCCTTTCGTGAAGCATTATGGGATAGCTAGCTTTTCATGGTTCAGTCTTCACCTTTTGGAGATTTCAATTCTGCGTTTGTGGTTGTTGCACATGAATGCGCTGATTGGTAGAGTTCTACACATCAAGGCACCATTTTTTAGTTCTTTTTTAGGCACATTTATTTCATCAAGAAACCAGAAATGAGATCAGCACTTGCACATGTCTTAGTAGCAGGGTCTAGAATATAGCCAGAACGGATTTTCTGTTGGAATTTTATGGGGCGTTTCAAAATACAAACCATGCTCATTGTGACAATTCATTTTCCTTCAAATCCTTTTTTTTTTTTTTTTTTTTTTGTCGAACGATAGATTTGTTAGATTAGATGTTAAATTAGAAAGTCAACGCGATTCGTTAGATGTTAAATTAGAAAGTCGACGGGACTTGAACCCACGTCATAGTACAAGAGCAACACTTATCTTCACCACTGTGCTAAAGGGTCACTTGCCTTCAAATAACGTTGGCATTATTACTCATAATTTCAGAAGAATTGGGACGTTGCGCACTTTTGCAACCTTTTTCCTCTTTATTTGATTATTAATATGACAGTTATTTCTTTAATTCTCCAACGTTATATACATAGTAAATAACCAACGTTGATCCAACGTGTGTCTACACACATCTTTTCTTTCCTATGAACCTTACGGATTTGAAAGGAACTTAACAGATTTGACATTTTCTTTCCTACAAACCTCACCAACTTGGAATAATACTAAAAGGTTAGGGGGGCGGCGTGCAAGAGGCAGAGGCGGAGTGCTGAGAGAGGAGGGTGAGTAGTGTAGGAAAAGAGAGATGAGAATGAGATAGAGTATGAGCATGGCTCCCAATTACTTCAATTGTCTCTACAATGACTCTTTCTTCAACGGTCTCCTATGCGCATACTTGCAGATAAGTACTAGTGGAGCTCATAACATAACCAAAACAGAGTTCCGTCGACATGCCATCAAACTCTGCCTACTTGCATCCCCAAATCATGGCATGCCTTCTCTAGCTTCAGTGTCTGGCAATCATAAATTTGCTGCAAAGAGTTCCCCTTACCTGTGTTAGCCCTGCAAATCTGTCACCACGACTCCAACAACAACAACAACAAGGCCTTATATCATTAAGTGGGGTTGGCTATATGAATCCTAGAACGCTATTGCGCTTGGTTCTGTGCCATGTCTTCTGTTAAATCCAAGTAGTCCAAATATTTTCTTAAAGTCTATTTCCAAGTCTTCCTAGGTCTTTCTCTATGTCTTTGACCCTGGGCCTCTATCTCGTACTCGCATGTTCTAACCGGAACATTTGTAGGTCTTTGTTTCACATGTTCAAACCACCTTACCGATTATCTCTCGTCTTATCTTCAATTTCAACTACTCCTAATTTGCCTCGTATATCCTCATTCCTAATCTTGTCATTTCCCGTGTGCCCACACATCCAACAAAACATTCTTATCTCCACTACACTCATTTTGGGTACGTGTTGATATTTCACCGCCCAACATTCCATACCATAAAGCATTGCTGACCTTATTGCCATCCTATAAAATTTTCCCTTGATCTTCAGTGTCATATGACGGTCGCACAACACACCCGATGCACTCTTCCATTTCATCCATCCAACTTGTAGCCTATGATTGAGGTCTCCATCTAATTCTCTGTTCTTTTGTAAGATAGATCCAAGATAGCGAAAGGGTTCGCTCTTTGGTACTTTTTGATCTTCAATCCTCACTCTTAACTCATTTGCACCTTTGTTCCCATTGAATATGCGCTCCATATACTATGTCTTTGACCTACTTGGGCGAAGTCCTTTAGATTCCAACACTTCCCGCCAAAGGTTGAGCTTCGCACTTACTCCCTCATGAGTTTTATCTATCAATACTATATCATATGCGAAAAGCATACATCAAGCGATATCATCTTGAATATGTCTCGTTAACTCATCCATTACCAATGCAAAAAGTAAGGACTTAAAGATGAGGTTTGGTGTAACCCTACAGTTATAGGCAAACTTTCGGTTTGTCCTTCATGAGTTCTTACAACAGTTTTTGCTCCATCATATATATCTTTTATAGCTTGAATAAATGCTCCTCGTACTCCTTTCTTCTCTAAAATCCTCCAAAGAATCTCTCTTGGGACCCTATCATACGCTTTTTCCAAATCCATAAATGCCATGTGCAAATCCTTTTTCATATCTCTAAATCTTTCCGTTGATCTTTGTAAGAAATAGATTGCCTCCACGGTTGAGTGTCCTGGTATGAATCCAAATCGATTGTCTGAGACCCTATCACCACGACTCGAAGGTCCAAAATTTCAAATCATTTCACCCTCCTTTCTCATGTTCCTCTTGTTAAGAACAATCCTTCCAATTCTCGAGCAGATCATGGTTGAACAAAATGTTCCGTCAAATTTCCTTCCGCAGCCCTTTCGGTGATTATCATGCTAGCGTACTCAGGAAGCTGCATGATGGACTCGTGTTCAAGGAAGAGCGCATAGAGAAGCTCGTTCCATGAATCGGGGACACCCCGTAGGCACCAGTGGCTTCAGTCTGGGACTCTTGATGGTGGATAGAGGCTGGTTTATTGTCAAATAGGTTCATGTTCATATTCATCTTCACCTCATCTCCTTCTTGGAAGTATCAACCCCTAACAGAGAATGCAAGTCCAAAGATCAATCATCCTATAGGTTATGGGCATAGAGTACTCTCCACATGAAAACCTTAAGAATTTTATTAAAATTTCATCGCTAGTCACGAGCTTCGCCAAAAAGCGTCTTTTTTACTCCAAAAGCATTTTAAGTGTTTCCACCAAACCTGTCTAAAAACGGAAGCATTTTAATCATAGTCAAAATAAAATCCCTTTCATCAACTTTGGTTATTATGAGCAACTTCATTTTCTGTTTAAGAACTAAAATGAGAGCTGTAAATTTCAAAAATTTTGCTGTAAACTTGTGTGATTACATTCTGTGAATATAAGTAAAACCATGTGTACATGTATAACTAGTATCACGCTTGCCTCATCATCTCTTTCTACTTGCATCCCGCGAGTTTAGCGTGCTCCGTAAATCAACTTCCGTCCTTCGGTTCCAGAGATGACGCATCTACTGCAAACAATTATCCTACAAAAGCATCCAAAGTGACTTGAATTCTTACCGATCAATGAATCCCAGCTTTACATGTTAGCTTAGCAAACATCCAGTAATCTTGTGTTCTAATCTTCCCCTCGTTAAGCAAAACCCGTCGAATGCTCAAGAAAAATGAAGATGCTAACAGTACCACCGAACTCTCTTTGTTACATGCCAGAGTTCTTCCGGTGAATGTGATAGCAAGAGCGTCAACAAAATGTTCCCGTTTTTTCCACCCTTTTGTGTGCTGAAGTCCTTATGTGATCATCATCGCAGGAAGTTTTTAATACTACTCACAATGTAAATTCCGAAGATTTGGTTGAGTTTCATGCGCAACTGGATTCCCGTTTAAGGAAGAGTGCATACAGTAGCTCGTTCCATGAATCAGGCACACCTGGGAGGCACCAGTGGCTGCAGTCTTGATGGTGGACGGAGGCTGGTCCAGTCTCAGGCCCTAGATAGTATATAGAGGCATGGCCATCTTTTCTCCACAAAGACATGTTCGTCACATTGAGCAAATCCAGTTTCCTAACATGTGACTCATTTGAACGCTCTGATATGAGATCAAAGATAGTCTTGTAAACACTTTCAGATGAATTGGGTGACAAACCTAATCCAGGTAGTTTCTCCAACTGACAACCACCACCAGTATTCCAATCACCACCACTGTTACATCCACATCCTATTGATCAGTGCTCGGTTATGCATATGCGGTAAAAACTAAAAGCAACATTTCCCTAAACACATTAAGTGAAAATGTGTGAACGTTTACGGTATTGCTATATGTTCTGATGCCTAAAGCGTATACAAGCAAATGAAAAAACACAGAGAACCCTAAAGTGCAAAGTCAAATTGAAAGCAAAAAATGATCTATCAATGAGACTGGCAACAAAAATGACGGAGCAAACCTGAAATGCACGGGAGCATAAGTTCGAAAGAGGACATAAGACTTGCTCATGTTCACTTCATTGCCAATCCAATCAATCACAGTATCTAACGATCTACGAAATGCTGTTTCCACAGTCATATTCATCTTCACCTCGTTCCCTTCTTGGAAGTAGCAACCACTGACAAGTCATGAAATTCCAAAGATCAGACATGACCTTATGAATCATACACATACACTTTTCTCCGCTTGAGAATTATGAATCCTTATTCAACCAAACAATTAAAATTTAAAAGTTCCTTAAATCACAAAATCGTTGTAAACTTTCCACCTCTAGTTTGTGTGAAAAGTTTGCATAGGCTATCAATAAGAACTAGATATGTAATGAAAACTAACAAAAAAGTTGTAGGAGAAAGTATGCAGGATTTACTCTCGTATGGTCTTTTCATAATTCCACCAATGCCCTGCGTTGAGAATCAGCATATCCGCATCTCTCCACTGCCTGGAAGTCCTTTCCAGTTGATCCACCCTTAAGGTCATCTTCACGTTTTCTGGAGCGCCAGCAGGAGGGTGGCCCTGAAAGACTAAAAATGGTGCTCTGTAGTATTCCACAGTGCAGTTGAAGTCCTCAAACTTGAATACCAAGAACCCCGAATGCTTTGTGATTGGATTCCCATTCACTTCATAGATTGAAGTCTTGTTAGTAACTGCAGAGGAGAGCATGCAGAGAAGAGACTCCCATTGGTTCCTTCCAATTGAGTCACCAACAAATACAACACGCCGGTTCCGAAGCTTGTCCAACATCTTCCCTGCATCGAACCTGTTCTTAAGACAAGAGAGAAACCGAACATAAGATCTTGTCCAATCTAATTTGTTAGAAGAGCATTTGACAACCATTAAAAACCCTTTGGTTTGAAGAACCAAGAGGTTGATCATAGTAAGAAACCATTAGTACAGAGTATAGCACTTATCATTGAAATTGAAGTTGAACCACAACATTAATGAAACCGAACGGAACAACTACAATGTACTCAGTTAGAGAGTATTCGGTGTACCATCATCATTATCATCATCTTAAATACTAAAGGTCACTCAATTATCGTTGTAGTTATGATTAAACTTCGCGATTATAGACGAAAATATCTAATATAATATTCTGTAATCTTTTTCGACTCACTCGAATTGTAATCAAATGAAAACAAAACCTCCAAATTGGAAAAGCATAAAATGAAACCAGATGACAAAACAAAAGGGAAAACAGAGAACTTACTCACAACTTGAACAGTTTGAACACTGAAAAAGTTGACAAAGCCGAAAGGCAATAATGGTTCACGGGTGAGCAGCTAGTAAACAAAAGAGGCACACCCACCAACCTCCACAAAAAATCAAATTCATTCACACAGAAAATAACAAGAACGTCAATTGAGAATGGTACCAATCCAAGTTCGAATCACCTCCGCGTGGTTTGGATTAATTAGAATATCGCTCGATTAAAAGAAATTAACAAAAAAATAAACAGGGAACCAACCCAAAATTCCAAATTAGTAATGGACAAATGAATAAATTAAATTCCAGTTAGTGATAAAATTTATCTGTTCACCAAATCAATGAACTAAATTCCAATTAGGCTGCTGATTCCAGGAAGCTTCTACGAGCACTGAACCTTTAATCTAAACATCACCAAAACCAACATAGATATGATACTTAATCAAGTTTCTTTCTTTATCTTCCGACAACGCGATATTCTAAACTACTCTGATAGCCGATGAGGCGATTCGGACACGGTTAAAGAAACAGAATGGTAAAGAAGTACCTGGGCAAGGTGCAATCTTTGGGCTGCCAACGCCACTTGGTGTAGAAATTATCAGGCCTGCCATTCTCAGAACATCTGAACCCTTCATCTAAAAAGCTACAGTTCTGTGACTCGTACAACGGATAGCTCTCATCCCAAACCCAATTCCCATCAAACACATCACACCCGTCAGCGCTTTCGTCAAGAAATCCAAACCGTCCATTCCCTTTTGATGGTAGCCCCAAAATCCCACTGAAAACTGTACGGTAATCCAAGTAGGATAAGCAGCCGACGAAGAGAAGAGCGACCAGGAAGAACCCAAGAATTCCCAGAAAAGGTTCCAGAGGGTTGGAGCTTTTGAGTTTCTTTAAGAAGTCCAAGTGAGTCACTGTGTTTTCCTCTGTTTGGTGCGGAGGCGTGGGATTGTTATCCGCCATTTCTGTGCAAAATGGAGCATTGAGAGTTCGTGGGCGTGGTGCGGGTTGGAGAAATGGTCCAATAAGAAAAGGGGTTTTGAAAAGATGGGAGCTTTAGACTTCCAGAGAGAGAAAGGAAGAAGAAGTGGGGTCTGAAAGAGAGGAGGAGAGAGAAACTGAGAAGGTATGCATTAGTGGCTAAAGGAAGACATTTTTCGAATTGGTTTTTCTTCTGATATCACATCAAAGTTAATATTTTGAGTTTATTGCAGGAAGAATGGGAGGATTGAAGCGTTTGAAATGGTGGCGGTGGTTTTTTACCGGTTGGTTTACAGAGAGAAAGAAATGGGTAGTTTCGGAAATTCAGATTCTTGGTAACGGTAGTGGGAAACTTTTTAAAATGTCATAAGAATTTATTTATATTTTTTTAATTTATTATATAAATTGAAATTTTAAGCGATTTGTTATATTAACGTTATGACACTGATTCATTAACTCACTCTAATTTTGTTAAATCTTTCATTTAAAGTAAGTAATGATTTTTGTTCAAAAAAAAAAAAAAGTAATGATGTATGTTCATGGTTATTTTAGATATTTCAACACCTCATTACTTTGGTAAGCTCAAAATTAATTTGTCATATCACCCTATTGTATTTTATTATCTCTAAAAATCATGGAATTTGATGGAAATCAGTTGAAAATGTTGTGCATTTAAACAAGATTTTCTCATAACTTGGTGCCTTTGATTTTGAACACGATCAGGCAATGGACATATTTTTATAAGGTACCAATGAAATGAAAAAGATGGCCATGATTGTTGACGTTTTCTATGGACATAATTGATTATGTTGAATTTTCAAAGTTTACAATTAGCCACAACTTTATATTATTAAGTCTAATATACTTTTTATTAGTTCACCGTAAGCTTTTTAAGCGAACACGACATGTTTTTTTAATTAGCTAAAATTTAAGAGTTTGTACTAAAAAGAAGTAAATTGCTTGTGCAAAGAAGGTCAAAAGTTCGAAATAACCTTAAATACAAATCATGTACGAGACACATGATGTATTTTGGATAAAAAAAAATTAAACAGCATCAGGATGATGATAAATTAATTTCGAAAAATCAATAAGACAAAATTGTTTAAAATTTTAATTCATGAGAAATTAAAAGATAATTTAGCTATGGGGGCCACGTTTAGACATGAATGGAGACTTTTCATTCATGTGAATATGTGATTCTCTTATTGTCTAGGCATCCTTCTACTTTATCAATAATAGTGAATGGACCTGTCTTTCTCAAAAATTGACAAACAAGGACAATGATGACAAATTAGGACACTCACAAATTAAAATGACAATTTGAAAAAAGAAATAAAATGACAATTTGATTGAAACAATCATTAAAAAATAAATAGTAGGTAAGAACGGATTAAGGTTCACTTCAGATCTTACTATCCAGATCTCAAGAACTAGATAATTCTGATCATTCGAATTGAATTCGACGATATTTATTAACTCATTTCACTGGTCCACTTCACATGAACTTAAGAATCTAATTTTTCTTTTACACAAGCCAATAACTTGAATTTCTTGGTCTTAGGCCAGGACACGACGGGATCCAAATTTGATGGGAACAAAGCTGAACACAAAAGAAGGAGATGTGGCATTGAAGGATCTGAGTGAGATTGACAAAATAGTTTATTTGCTCTAATGCCCCCACATTTTTTTAAATTGGGGCCAACCCAAATCATTAAAGTATGCTTGACAAAAAAAATAATTAAATTATGCAGCCTTTCGTATTTTTTTGCTTGACCACCTAAAGAATGTAGGCCTGCATACTAATTTATGAGCACTTCTAGTATTATTCCTTGACTATAAATAAAGTACATACTTTACATTCCTTTTTTAAAATGAAAAGAAGAATTTGATTATAATATGCACAAATTCAATAGGTTACAAATTCATCACTGAATTCTACAATTTAGTGTTACTCTTTCGTGTGAAATGATAAACACATAGAGATTTGAGGGTTGGAACGAGTGCATAATAAGAATTCTTGGGGATTTATGATTGGTGTTGAGTTGAATATAGTGCAAAGTCGTATCACTTTGGTTAATAAGATTCACAAGGTTTATGGATCCCCAGGAGTTCAGATCCATAATAGACATATATAAATTATTGTACGTCAAATAACATCAAAAGTGTTGGTTTCAAAAGATGAAATGTCTAATGTTCCTTCACCTGGAGAACTAATGGAATTGCTACGAGCTGAACGAACGTTATTTTCTTATCCGCTCATATTTAATCTTATTCGGTTTGTTTTTAATTACTCAACTCGATAACCCGAATTAAAGATGGGCATATGAACAAAAGACTAAAACATAAGTGTAAACTAAACTCCGTTTTTTTATTTATAAGTGCAAGGTTTTAAGTTCAACTTACACAAACATGAGTTTAATGGTATTACAATTACAAGAGCATTCTATAATTTAACCAAAGTCCCGGTAGAGATTACGTAGGGTTTGTTTGAAATTATCTCACAATAAATACAGTTATTAAGGAATGCTAAGGGGCTCTCCAAAAAAAATACTCTTAATTAATTATTTGTTATCTCATAATTTAATGTTAATTTTTGTATCAATATTAAAATATTATGAAAATAAAATACGAGAGACGTGACATTGACATGACAGCCGTCGCATGTGGCGCTGATCGAGGGAATAAAAAAAAGGAATATATTTATGACCTGTCCAACCATGGAGACAGCTTCTATCGCAACACGTGTAATTGCACTTAGTTATTAATTAATTATTTAATGGACTCCATTTTCTTGATAATAATTGAACAGCACTTCCCCCTCACTTTCTTTTGTCCCCTTCACATATAAATTTGGAAAAATAACCGACTAAATTGAAAGAAAATAAAATTTTGGAGAAAAAGAAAAAGAAAAACGAACGCCCAAAAAATTGAGAATTGCCCCACAAACGGTAAAGCCCAAACGTATTGGATTTGAGTTCTTGCAAAAGCCCATTCATTTTTCCTCTAGAAAATCAAGACAAATAGGCACAAAGTTCTTTTAGACGATCTTCAATCTTTAGGTTAAAATCTTAAATTTTTAATTCAGAAAATTTAGGTTTTAATCAAAAAACAGTTTTTCTACTCCAAATCTTCTAGTTAAATTTTTAGCCCTAGATTCTTAAATAATGAATTTAGGATCATTTTCTTAAAGTAACTTTCAAAAAAAATTATGTTGATTATCCTAACTTAATTTTATGAACATTTTAACCTATAAATATTTATATTCCTATAAATATTGAAAAATTGCTAAACCGACACCATGAAACTCAAGAAACACTACAAAAGAATATGGAATACATGAAAGAATTTTTTTTTAAATTATTTTAACCGTTGGATTTAAATTTTGGATCATTAGATCTTTCTTTACCGTTGGATTTGATTAAATTATATCTTTGTTGTTGGATTCACTTAATCTATAAACATAAAACTAAAAAAAATATGCATATATGGTAGGCCAGTTCACTAACATAGGATGAATTCTAGCCTAAATTTTTGTGGAAAAACTCATATTTGGTTCAAGGGTTAGTTTAGGACCTAAAATTTGAGTTTTGCTCTAAGGGTTGGAGTAGGTCTTAGTACTACTAGTATTTTCATACACGAGCGATAATCTACAATAAATTTATCTAAATTATAAAATAAATAAAAAATTCAAACTTGAGTGAAGAGTAAAGTACACTACTTGAACCAACTTAATTATGAACTTTTAATTAGAAAACAATACTCGGAAATAGTATAAACTAAAAAATAAACCGTATACAAATTGAAGTTCAGTGTCCATTCAATTTATTTTTCGATTATTATCAACAAGTCTATTTATGCTTATTTTTCCTTTGCTCAATCACGAGGTTCGTATGCATAGGAACAATTATAAGAACAAAAACCTTCCATTTTTAGAAACAAAATTTCAATCGAAGAGTACGAACGTGGAATGTTTTCTTAGAGCACTTTTGTTTGTTCACAAAACATAGTAACAGAACGATACCAACGCGGCAATGCCGGTCAAGATACAAAGCCGATCTAACCGGCTCTCGTTCCTCATCTTCTCCTCTTTCAGCTCGTTCTGTACCTTCAGTACAAGTGACAGGACTCGAGAACTTCGCTGTAGTTTTTGTTCCGCGGCAGCTCAGCGCTTCCTTGAGCATATAAGCAAAACTGTTTCTTCCGTTGAAGTAGTTGTCTTCCATGTCTTCGAACTGCATGCTTAGTTACGTTAACTTGAGAGTTGTCTGAACACCTTCACCTTCGGTGCAAATCACTCTGAGCTTCAAACTGAGGATGCGTTCTACCACTTGGCAAGGAAGGATGTCTATGGCGGGAAGAAGGGATCCAAACAGCATCACGAAATCCTTGTCCGTTGGCCAATGTCTTTGACCGCCAAGAGGGTAACAGCAAGCAAGATTAGCGGCTTGCTTTATTTTTCTATTTGCAACAATCCAACTAAGCTGGAGTCCATCTCGCAGCCCCCTCCATAACTTCCCATCCCTCTTTTCTGTCTCCATTGATGCGATCGGTGGTAGATCCATTAGCAGCGGAGAGGAAAACTTCACCATCGTTGTCATAATCTGTATCTGCATGAGTTAGAAGATCGCAGTTGTAGAAACAACCATTGAAGCCATCTGTATGCGGAATGCCCCAAAGAACATTGAGCCGATTATTTTGTCCTTATACCTGATATCCACAAGAGAACCAAAATCCGATGGTGAAATACTTTCGAATTCATCCATGTCACCGTAGTGTTCAGCCTCAGTCCATTCTTCAGGATACTCGAGGTAGTCATTCCGTCGATACTTGGAAACTTCCTTGTTACAGTAAGGGGGAAAACAATCTGCATAGAACTTTCGGAATCCACCAATGGATAGAATCGAACTCTTGACGTCTTCCCGATTAGTGGAAGGCCACTTAGAAGAGCAGACATATTCCCACAATCTTTCTTCCTTTGAGATGGAACAGAATGCTGCACTAGCCAAAGCTGGTCCGTCAAGACGCTTCAATACTTCGTAGGAAAGGTCTGTGTTCAAAGATGCCATATTCTCGACTTGTGCAACTGACGTTTGCAACAGATCTCTGATCATCACGGAAACAAAGCAAATGTCAAAATTCAACAAGATCTCTCGACAATCACAGTTTATGTGTTATCTGACACGAAGATAATCACAAAATAGTAAGACAAGTTGTATCATCAATTGCCATAAAAATCAAGTGGCAAAACGTAATGTGCTTCACCTGGAGTTTTTGGAAAGTAACAAGAGC